TGTTTAAAAATTGCAATTACACTCCCATTCACACACAAAATCAATACTGATTCATAAAGGACGCTGTAAATTTCACTATTTCATCCGAAGTAATTTTGTGATAATGTTGTGCGCATTTAAAAGTGCCAAGTGATACATGAAGGCCAGCTTTGAGGTAGTTAACAAAAGTTATTGTTGTTGCAGTCGCCATAAAATGACATTTTGCAAAACCAGCATCAAAATGCTACCGCTGTCAACAGCCCAACCGCATTGGCGACCCAGCATATCAACTACTTATACACATACATTGCAAATAGGAAACATATAAACATATACGTGTGTGCATAGATATGTGAAATGTTAAGTGCATGCAATGTAAAAACATATATGCACAGCTGAAGAGCAGTAACTTGGCGAGAGTTTCTGCTAGAGGATTATAAAATGTGACAAAAACAGCGCCGAATGACAGGCTATGAAAAGAGGCATGCCACATATGGACGCGTGTATGTGTAAACCGCGCTTTATGCGTATGGATGGAAAAGTAAGTAGGTGTGTGTGTGTGTGCATTTGCGCAGTCATAAACATTTTCCGCATTAATTTTAGTGAGCGTAAACAAAGCAATCAAAAGTGGAAATGAGCAGATCACAACTGATTATGACAGCTGATGGCATGTGAATGTGGTAGTAGGGCATAAAGGCGTGTGAGAAAGCGAAGAATAACGGTTCGTGTGTGTGTGTTTGTATGAGTAACTGATTAAGTGCTTATTACACATTCGTAAAAATATCAATAATGAGGATGAAGAATATTTCAATTTTCATACAAGCGCAGGGTAAAGCTCAGCTCAAACTGGCAATGCTGACGATATTGTGGCACAAATGCGTGTGTGTTTATCTTGAATAAAAATCTGTGTGTATAAAGTGAAATACATACATATATTACTTGTTATTGATGATACTCAAAGTGTTTGAACAGCTGTCAGCAGTGACAGCAACAAATAAAACTAAAACAACAAATATACACATATAAAAATACAGTTAATTCATGCGATATCTACATACAAATACCCTATACAAGCCATCAAATTTGACTTTTTAATGCAACGCTTGCTGACGTTGAAAGTCAAAATCATTTAAAGGCGCAATAACAACAACAACATCATTATAGCAATCGAACACAAATGGTATCAAGCATTTGACTTGAAGACATTAGCATTTATTTATATACATATATATGTGTACACTTCCTTCCCTTTTATTAAGTGCCCCAATCCATTTTCATTTAAATTTTTCTTCACATTTGGTAACAAGACACGCACACACATCCACCCCTCCGTTAAAGCAGCATCGAAGGCCACACAACACAACAAAAAACAATAAAAGAAAAAAATTATTAAGAAGAAAAATATTCTGAAAACTACTGCCGTTAATTCACAATTCCAATTTGGTATTTGTGTAGCATCATTCCAATTCATTTGAATTTATTGTGGCAGTTGGCCCATTTCACTCACAGCCCATTGCCACGCATATCAATTAATTGTCGCTGGCGTTTGGCCGATTTTGTCTGACTTACAGATTTTTTGCGCGCCTGACAACTAGACAGCCAGCCAGCCGCTGTGTGTCTGCGTTTCTTTTGTCTGCCAGCAAGATAAAAATTAATTATTCCAGTGGCTTGTGCCAATTTAACAAAGATTAACATTTGCAGGCGATTCAATAATAATTGTCCAGTGTTCAATTGTTGTCATGTGACCATCAATTCTTAAGCCAATGAGTTCTTGAAACATTTTTATATACATAAATATATAACAACAATTACTAAGATCATATATGTATGAAATTATGTGTTCAGATCATAACATGTGCTAAGTATCTTGCAACAGTAACATAGCATGCTGTATGGAGTGTAAAATTTTTTATAGATTTCTGATATTTTTTTTTGTTATCAAGTTTTATAACTGGTCATTAAAAGTAAGCACTACAGCTATATTAAGGAATTCACACTCCACAGGAGGCATTAATCGAGGGAAGTACATATTACTTAATAAAATATTATATTTAATGTATTTTATGACTCCTCGAAGACCTTATGCGGACCAAAATAAAAATTTATATTAGGTTAGGTTACTTTTTATTAATCTGGTAGGTCAATGAGCCACGCATAGATAAGCTTGGTCCTTTTCGGTACGTAAAGAGTTCAGTTACTAGTCCAAGAGGAGTAAGCATCCTTTGGAATGCTTCTGCATGGCTCGAATTTTAACAGACCTGCGACCTCACTGTTAATACCTCATCCAGTGTAGTATACTTCAGTTGCTTACAGAGAGAGTACTCTTGCCAATGCGTTGCAAGTGTACAAGAGGTGACCCATTGTTCTTTAGTGCCTTGCTCTAGATATTAACATTTATATTGGGTAGTCGAAAAAGTCTTTTCGTATTTCTAATGAAACTTAAACTCGTTTTATTTTTTTTATGTTTATAATAATGAATAAATAAACAAATATGTACTATTTTGGTCGACCATTTTACCTAAAATTTCCTCAGTGTAAGTCGAAATTTAGAAATTTCCAGAACGGAAGCGAGCGAACCATTGTTGTGCTATATGAACTGATACACCACCGTCTTCGTAAACTTCACAAATGTCATTGGTGACTTGTGTGGCATTTTTCCCTTTTTTATACAAAAATTTCAAATATAGCAAATTTCTCCATTACTTTCACTAATATTTGAATAGCTGTAATTTTTTCAACTTCCCCGAACTAAATTTTTTTTTACTTCAATGAACCTTAAAATCTCATATTTACAACACTATATAGTATGACACAATGTGATTGGTAGCACTGGAGATATACGACTGCAACGACATCTATTGACAAAATACGAAAAGACTTTTTTGACTACCCAATATTTTCAATAATGTAAAATGTTTACTTTTCAAAAACGTGTTTTTTCGAAAAATATGTTTGAAAGTGCGTGAAAAACATATTACTATTTATTACATAAGAAAAAAGACCAAAAAATTTTAATAACTTCTATTAGTTTCACCGGTTAGTTTGTATGACAGCTAATGCTATAGCAGCCCGATCGAAGCAAATTGCTCAGAGATTGTAGCGTTGCCTTGGACATTAATCTATGCGAAATTTCGTGAAGATAATTTCCTGCCTTGAGCAATATTATATGTAAAATTTCATTAAGGTATCTTTTAGAATAAAAAGTTTTCTAAAGAAAGACGTGAATTTGATCGGTCAATTTGTATGACATCTAATTATATGCTATCGTAACCCAATCTCAGAAGTTTGACTGGAGGTTGCAGCGTTGCCTTGGAAAATGACCGATACCAAATAAAAAAAATTTTGATACAAGAACTTAATAATTATTGAATATTATAAATAAATCATAAATATATGAAAGAAATTATTTTTAAATTTTTCTCAATCTTTAACAAACTGAATATAGCGAAACAAAGCTATGTGATGAATGTTAAAAGCACGCAAATATTGAAAGTTCGAAGCACAAGTTAAGAAGACACTGCTTGATGTTCAACAGAATGTGAACAAAAAACATAATAAATACGGAAAGAGCAAAAAAAAACAAAAAGTAATTACAACAAGCAATGCGACACATTTTGGATGCTGCTGATTGCTGTCAATAGCAACAATAACAATGTTGCAATGAAAAAGTGCGAAAATGTGGTTAAAAGGTGAACGGTAAATGTATGTAGACGTGCAAAAATGCAAAACCAAAAAAGCGAGCAAAAATCGATGAAAGGACGCAATACTATCGACTCAAGTAAACTCACGAAAAAGGCATAGAAAACAATAATGGGGAATGGAATAGGCGGTAAAGGCTTAAATGATAGTCATTGACAGCAGTGGCGACAACAACAACATGCCAACATAATTGCATACAACTGTGCTTTTAATTTTTATTTTTATTTTGCCAAGAAGGGCCAGCATATGCTGCTGTGTCAGCCGTCTCGAAAAGGAGCGAAAAATCAAGTTTGCTAGGGAGACGGAAAAGACAGAGCAAAGTGTTTAGTGTATTTTGTAAATTGACAACGGTAAGGCCCAATTTGTGGCACGCAATTTTTGGCACAAAATTGTTTTTCAAATAGCCAGTTATGAATGTGGCAAGAAGCTATTTGCTGCCACAAGCGTTGGCAGCTCCTTGTCTGCTTGTCCGACAACAGCTGGGCAAAATGTTGCAGACATTTTAATGACTGTGTATGAAGTCATGTTTTTGCTGTCACTTACAAAGCATTGATTTTTAATTTTTTACAATTAATTTCCAGTTCGAATTTTTTTGTTTCTTTGTATTTATGTTCGAACACAACTTGCGCGCAAACAAAAAATTGTGGCTTTTTCTTATTAAACGCAGCATGAGAAAATTCGATTAGTTTCGAATTATTACAATGGTTGTTGTTGTGAAATATTACATACATCTGTTACGCTGGCATACAGCAACTGATATACATATGTAAGTGCATTTGTGTTTGTTGTTGCCACATTGCTCGCATTCGGCTTAATGCAGGTCAGATATGCACGCTGACCCGGCGTATTTATCAGCAACATTGTGGAGCTGGATATGTGCATATGCTCGTATTTAATTACAAGTGCTTGTTGCTGTGTGTGGGTATGTGCCTGTGTGTTGTTGTTGTGTTGCACTCGCCACTTTCAGCGGCTCTTATTGCATACTTATGACATGTAGTTTTTTGAAGTACTATGTACTCATGTTGCAAGTCGCGTAAGTGCCTGCCACGAAAAATATGCTCTGCTCTAAACGTTGGTTTAGGCACCCTAAATTGCATGCACTGATATTGGACGAGGGCCGGCGCCCACTTAAAAGTTTTTAGTATTGCAGAGTTTGTAGTGTTCGTGTAGTTGTTTGTTTCTTTCAACAAATTTATGTTTTTGATGCAACAACTATTTTGATTTTTAAAGGGTGCCTTAATATTTTTTTATTTTTTATTTTTTTTGTAACTAGTTTGAAACATTTTCCTTTTTGCTAATTTTCTCATGTAACTTTTACTTACTGACACCTAATGCTAGGCTATCCGAAAGCAGGAAGCATATCGATTTTTATGTGTGTGCCGCGTACTCCATTGTGTAAAATATCCTTTGTAAAATTCTTCCCTTGACACTATATTTGTAACTTTTATTTAGTTGATGGGCGTTACAGAAGAATTGAAAGTGCTAAGCGTTTTGCTGATAACTGTTAGCAGCTTAAATCACACTGCAGCTTTAGTAAACACTAAACTTTGCATGCACTTTTGTTATGAAAATTTAATTTTTTAGTGTAGTTGCACAATTTGACGAATACGTTTAGTTAAACTTTGAAAAATAATTTTATAGTGTTGTTTAGGTGGTTTTAACGACACTCACTTTCCCGAATTTAAGCTTTTTCACAAACTAATTTTTTTTTTTTAATAAAAATATTTTTATA